AGGACGGTGTCCACCTCTCTTGGTCACCACTGTTTCCCTAGCACTTAACGCAGAGCCTGTTCACGAGTACTAGACAGATATTTGTTAAATGAACAGGTATATCTGCCTGGCACGTCCTCTCGGCGGCCTGGGTACCACGAAAGCCTAGAGCAGAGCCGGAAGGCCAGTCAAGGATTAAAGGTGCTGACCATGTCTCTTACCTTAGACATGACCAAGGAAGGGGCGCGGGCACCCCAACCATTGTTCTCGGGAAACTGACCTGCCAGTGAAGCACTGCAAACAGCCAGGCACGTGCAGACCCCCCACTTCCCTCTGTGGAGACAGAGCTGAGAGGTGATCCATTTGTCAGAGCCCCCTAGTGGGGACTCTGAGGCCGGGCGCTCAGCTGCACTAACACGGGCAAGCATCGGAACGTCCTGAGCACCTTGCTGGTTGTCGGCACCCCATGGACGTGCACCTCCACATACCGCAGCCTGCTACCTGAAAATACGGGGCTCCCCTGCCTGGAGAGCAGGCTCGAAAGTGGGAAGTCCGGGTGATGTTGAGGGGCCTCCCTGAGTTCCCCAGTAGGGACCCCGCTCCACTTGCCCACGGCGTCAGTGGCTCTGTGGCACCCACTTTCCCCTTCCCTGCAGTGTTTCCTGGGGTCCCCTGCAAATACAGTACTGGCACCTGCATCCATGTGACAGGATTTACACCTGGGAGGGAGAGCCCAAGTTAAGACAGGCAACTCGAATGTCTCGAGCAATATACCACGTCATTCATTCCCGTGTGCGTGCGTATACGCCTTCACGTAATCCTCTCTGGAAAGCTGGCAGTATTCACCTTGTTTTACAGAGAGGAAAGAGACGCTCGAGAGCTTAAATAACATGCCCAGAGTTGGCAAAAGGTAGACCTAGGATCTGAATGCAGGGCTGTTGATTTGAGAGGCTCGTCACTGACGCTCTCCCCATACGTCCAGCTCTGCACAAAGGTGGCCAGTCCCCAGGCCCAGAGCCATCTCTGTCCGTCGGGTTACCTCTTTGCCTCCTTCTTCCACTATCTAGCTCTCCGTGGACAGGCTGCTACCAAGGGAAGACCCAACACGAAGGACTCATGGGCCGTTCCGATGAAGTGGACACTGAGGCATCTCATTTAAAGTCTTCATTTTACAAATGAGGAACGGCCTTGAAGGGACACGTGACATTTTTCAAAGCGCATTCACAGTTATGATTCTGAAACGGCACTTCCACCTGTGTGGAAGGTTACCAGAGTCCCCATTTCACAGAAAAGGAGACGGAATCGGAGAGGGGACATGAGCGCGGAGCAGGGAGAATCGTGAAAACCGTCGCTTAGTCATCAGACGCTTTTCCTTATGCCAGGGGCTCAGGACATTCTTCACATAGCAGCGGACCTCGCGCACCCCGCCATGAGCCTAAGCGTTCAGCGTTCTCCTGTGGCAGAGGGGCTTAGAAAGTCATAGTGATCTGCCTTTGTCTCAAGTGGAGAGCTGGGATTTGAACTTGGCCTTGGCCTGTGTTGGACCATTGAATAAAGCAGGAGCCCAGCTCAGAAAGAGCTGGCCAAACCCCATCCAAGAGACCTATATTCACTCCAGGCTGGAAGTTCCTCTAGGTAAAACCGTCCTGTGGGCTTTGGGGTGGGGGGAACACAGAGACTGGGGGAGAGCAGTGTGTGTGTGTGTGTGTGTGTGTGAGAGAGAGAGAGAGAGAGAGAGAGAGAGAGAGAGAGAGAGAGAGAGAGATTGAGAGAGACAGTGAAAGATGTAGGGGGCACCAAAGAGAAGCTGCTGCCTGGCTCTAGCTCACCACCACCAGATCATTTTGAGGAACAGAGGACTCAGGCTTCCGGTTTAAGTCCTTCCACTTGCAATCATTTTTTTTGTTTGTTTGTTTTATTTTAATACAAAAACAGCTACTCGCTGACCACAAGAACTCCACACCTTGTCCCCACCCCCACCTCCCATCCCAAGCCTTCAATTACTCCACACGCTCTGGAAACACGTCATCGCCTGCCACCTCACCCCATTCAGCTCCCCCTAACTCCACCCTATCCAAGCCCCTTAAGACAGAGCTTGCCAGGGAGTCCAGTCAAATGACCGGAAGAAATTCTTAGAGCAAACTCATCCTGCAAGAACTGGCCACTGGCGGGCGTGGTGGCCATTCATGGACACCCAACCATACAAAAAGAAGAACTTTATCCCCTTCCTGTCATTCTGAGCTACCGAGAACCCCGGAGTCCTATCTCCATTATGACACAGGAAGCTGAGTACTTCCTACACTATCTGGACCTTGAATCTTGAGTTTATAAAGAATCTAAGAGCTCTAGAAACAAAGACTTCATGGACAGAATCCCTTGAAACCAGAGTAAGTGGCACTTGTCTTTTCTGTCTTGTCAGCTTCTATGGCGGGCCACCTTGTTTGAATACATGCATGCAGCTGGGCAGGACTGTGGTTCTTCTCATTACTGGTGATTACTGGTTTACCTGTCTATCTATCTTCTCAAAGGTGAGGGATTCTTCAAGGGCCAGGCAGATGGCTAAGCAGCCTGTTGATGTATCTATAAGGCGATGGAGGAACTGAGTAGCAATACTGAGAACGGGTGGATTTACAAGCTTGGGTGCTCAGATGTAAAATAGGTTTTAATTTTTGCTTAAAAAAAAAAAAGGGGGGGAAGCTTTCTTAAATGGTTGGTGTTAGAGCCCGATTGAGAAAGTCAGCCCAGTTTTAAGGGACAAGGGACACTCTGCGGAAAGCTATTCGAGAGCATGTTATTTGCCAGATCTTCCCTATGTCCATGAAAACTATGCATGGTATAGGAAATCGTTGTGGCAAGAGGGAAATATGAATTTAAAAAAAAAAAAAAAAAGCCTTTGCAGGAGCAAGGAGGATTTGATACCGAACTCATTTCTTAAGAAAACTAGAACCGAGGAGCTCGAAATCAGACTGCAGGCTGAGTTTGGAAGACAGAGAATTTCATCCCCCCGAAGGCAGGAAGCGGGCCCGGTGACCTCTTGGGATGTACGCGTTCTGTTCCACTAACAAAGAGGCAGCAGACCCTTGTCCTGAAGATGGAGGGGCATGGGGCTACTTGGAGGTCTCAGAGTTTCAGAGTTAGAAACCCCCAGAGCTTTGCATAGCCTGCCACCAGCCTGTGTGCCATACACGGACCCTTTAGCTCTTACTCTGACTAGCAAGACAGCCGCTAGGGTATTCAGACTGTAAGGGAGGCATGGATGTGCTCATAAATGTTTCGTAATGCGCTCTCTTGAGAAGAGAGCCCTGCTTTCTAGTCTTTGCCAATTTCCATGTGTAAGTGTTCCCACTATGGTCGATTTCAAGCTACCAACGCGCCCATTGCGGAGTTGGGAAGAGATGCACACGATTGGTTCTTGTGAACCGGTATAAGCCAGCTGCTGTGCACCAGCAGGCCTGGGTGTCCTTCCCACCCCAGGCTGCCCTTTCTCTGCTCAGAGACATCACCAGCTCCCAGGCTGGAGGATGCAGGCACTGGGAGGTGCCAGGCTCCAGGGACAGAGCTGACCACTGAGCCGAGTGACCGCAGGGCAACCTTGGGCCACAGACCACAGCAGCGCTGGCAGGTCGGATGGCAACACGGTCCTCTGATTTCTCCTCCAAGACCCCGCCCCAGCCTACCTCGCTTCAGGAGCAGCGTGCCCTGGAGTTATTTTTGGTGCCCAATAAGTTGGGTAAATGGTGAATGGAGTTGGAAGTCAAGGGTTTGGAGGTGACCTCCTATTCAGATGGCACATTGGCAATGCTGACTGAATGTGCCTTTGCCTTTGCCAAAATTCCCCCCAAAACTGGGCTCACGGGTTCTGTCTTGCACCAGTGGCTCCCCGTGCTTCCAAGATGCTTGCTGCTTCCACTGCACACCTGCCAGCCCACCCCAAGGTGCCGATGGCCCAGCCGAGCTGCCAGCACTGACGGTGGAAGCAGGAATCAGAAATTGCCAAAATGGCTTCATGAGTGACTGCCAGCCTGGGTTTCTCCAAAAAGAGGGCTGGTAAGGGAGCGGTAAGTCCAGAGGTGGAGGAGTGAGCCATAGGGATGGATTTGGCAGGAAGCGACAGACCCCCAGCCAGGGTTCCCGATATCCCCCTCATCCATCTGCCTTCATTTCCAATGGCCGCTGCAGAAATGTGAATTTCTAAGCGGGAGACATTCATGAAGCAGCGTAAAGGGGCGAGCCCTAGATACTCCGGATTGAAGGTGGGAAATATGAAACAAGTACCATCTATTTTATTGATGAGCGTTTAGGTCAAATCCATTCAGATTGGTGGCAACATATTGAAAATTGCAAAGTGCGGTTCACACGGCAGGGACTGTCTTGTCCGTCACGGTGAAGCAGAATTCGCCAGGAATATTCCAGCTTCCAATCACATTCTGGCTAATGTACCCTGCCCCCAAGGCCCCCCATCAGGTGTCCCCGTAATTTATCCAGAAAGTGAACCCTGGCTCAGTCCTCCATCTCTGGACTTACCTCCGCTGGCTGTGGGGGTTGGAGGCAAGGAAGCCAAGTGGTTCCAGGAACGGGCATGAGATCGACACACCCCCGGGTCTGAGCTCACTGGGCGTGTGTCCTAACCACTCCCAACTGCTGCGTCATCACCTCTGAAATGGGGAACAAGAATGGTGCCTCTCAAGGGTCGTCTAACACCAAGCGCAATGCCAAGGCCGTAGGAGGCACGAGGTGGGTGTGGGTCAGGGACAGCGTGCTGAGGTCTCCCTCTGCCTGGGCTCTCCACCCGCTGGACTTTTCTTTCCTTGCCAAAGTAATGGAATTCGTGATTTATGCACGTTCGTTTCTCGCCCGCCACCCCGTTAGACTGCAGTTTTTATGAAGGCAGAGAGTTTCAGGGTCCTCCTTGCTCAGCCTCGGGTCCCAGGGCATGGCCCACAAGTAGGGTACTCAGTAAACAGTTGTCAAGCGGTGGAAGACGTATAACCTCTGCCTTGTCTTTGTCACCCAGAGCCCACCACCTTTAAAACAGGAAAATAAATACAGAAACCGTTTTCCTTGACCCACGGGAGAAGCCAGGATGGAAATTTCCACCACAACGGATGACTATAAAGCGACCACAGAATATGACTACGGGGACACAACGCCGTGCCAGAAGACGGAGTTGAGGGCTTTGGGGGCTCAGCTGCTGCCCCCTTTGTACTCCCTGGTATTTGTCATCGGCCTGGTGGGCAACATTCTGGTGGTTCTGGTCCTCATGCAGTACAAGAGACTCAAGAGCATGACCAGCATCTACCTCCTCAACCTGGCCATCTCCGACCTGCTCTTCCTCTTCACGCTGCCCTTCTGGATCGACTACAGTCTGAAGGAGAGCTGGGCATTCGGTAACGGCATGTGCAAGTTTCTCTCGGGCCTTTACTACGTGGGCTTGTACAGCGAGATCTTTTTCATCATCCTGCTGACGATAGACCGGTACCTGGCGATCGTCCACGCCGTGTTTGCCATGCGGGCTCGGACCGTCACCTTTGGGATCATCACCAGCATCATCGTCTGGGTCCTGGCCATTCTGGCTGCCATTCCGGGCTTTTACTTTTCCAAGACCCAGTGGGAGTTCAGCCACCATACCTGCAGTCTTCATTTCCCTCACGAAAGCTTAAAACAGTGGAAGAAGTTCCAGGCTCTGAAACTCAACATCCTGGGGCTGATCTTGCCTCTGGTGGTCATGATCGTCTGCTACACGGGGATTATTAAGATCCTGCTCAGACGGCCCAACGAGAAGAAGGCCAGAGCCGTCCGTCTGATCTTTGTCATCATGATCATCTTCTTTCTCTTCTGGACACCCTACAATCTGACTGTGTTTGCTTTTGCTTTCCAAGACGTCCTTTTGAAAAATGAGTGTGAGCAGAGCAAACAGCTAGACCTGGCCATGCAAGTGACGGAGGTGATCACCTACACGCACTGCTGCGTCAACCCCATCGTCTACGCCTTTGTTGGGGAGAGGTTCCGCCGGTACCTGAGCCAGCTGTTGCACAGGTTCCTGGCCGTACACCTGGCTAAATGGCTCCCCTTCCTCCCCACAGAGAGGCTGGAGAGGACCAGCTCCATGTCCCCCTCCACGGGGGAACACGAGCTCTCTAATGGGTTCTGACTCAGGCCCCTGGATCTGGGTTCTGATTTAGGATCCCACAAGAGCGACCTGCCAGGGACGCTGGCTGGAGAGGAGGAAGCTTGGCTCTTCCGGCCAGACTCGGACCACTGGCAGTGTGGAATGACACCGCCTGGGCCTGAGGGGACTTAAAGGTGGTCTAGACTAAATCACCTACCACTGGCAGTGTGGAATGACACCGCCTGGGCCTGGGCCTGAGGGAACTTAAAGGTGGTCTAGACTAAATCCCCCCTGGGACTTGAGTCTTCGCCATCAACTTCTCCCTGGAGATGAATGAGTGAACTGGGACGTTCCAGAAGACTGGTACAAAGGGTGCCAGTGAAGGGCCTGGGCCCACATGGGGCTTCATATTTGTGAACATTCACATTTATAAAAATAGCCACTGAGCAGTCCCTGCCCCCGATCCCTGCCTCTAGCCACCAATGAACTTGGACATAACAGTTACCATAGTCGAGTCCACTTCCAGCCTGGAGCCAGTCAGGAGCCAGCAGCTGCCTCCACTCACCTGCCCTGCCCCCATTCCAGGGTTTGGGCTCTTGGAAAACCTGAGGAACGTAGAACTCATGATGTTGAGACCTCATGGGAAATAGGATCGGGAAAATGCTGTCAACAGTGGAACTTCCCTTAGGGAGGATTTTTCTATTCAACGAAGTCAAACAATTCTGGCGGTGGGCTAGATAGACCACGTGCATAATACGTTGTACTTCTTGAAACAGCCATAGAGGAGAGAGAGTCATTATGTTCATCACCCTGCCTTTCTTTTGGAATAGTTCCAGAATCTCCCTTCCCCGTTAGTTGGATGACACTGCAGTAAATTCTGACAGCTTCGTTGCAGAAATTACTAACAGGACAAAGGAGACAGAGCTGATTTCCTTCTCTGGTTATCCATCCAAGCCTTCTGGCTTTACGGATCTGAGTTCTGGCTACTGCCTTGGACCCATTAGCAGAAAAAGCGACCCGGTGTGAAAGTTGAGGGTGTCTGAGGCTGAGAGAGAGGAGATTGTCTACCACGCAGGGTGGGGTGGGGACTCTGTCTTGATGTAGGAGGTTGAGAGGGCCCCGAACTCAAAGAAACTTATTTACCCCAAATGTCTAACATTTCATCTCTCACCAAGGAGCTCCTACTTAATATGCCCTTGTTCCCTTTTTCCTCAGCCTTATATTTTCTTAAAAATCATTTTCCCAATAACAAAAAAAGTTGTTTCTAAAACAGCTTAAGAACATAAAGGGAAAAATTACAGACATCGAAATCATCCATCATGCCGCCACCCAAGGACAACCATTGTACATTTTTGATGTGTTTTCTTTTAGTCTGTTTTTTCTCTCGTGCATAGTTATGATCACAACAAAGATGGACTTCTGCTATTGTTGCTGTTAAGTGGTAGGATGCTTTGATCACTTTTCCGGGTCAATAAATCATTTCAAAGCATTGTTTTTGGTGCCTGCACTGAATGCCACAGCTGGGATGCCCTCTAAATGACTCCACCCACTTCCCCATCATTGCAAATCCATTCAGTCCAGCCTGGTGACTGAGGACCTGTTCCATTCAGAGCAAGCCCGGGGAAACACAGATGCAGGAGGGAGGTCTGCTCTCTGAAAGCCCTCTGCTCAGTGAGGTGGACAGACACAGGGATGCCAGCAGAGCCCAGGAAGGATGGGTGGGGCTGCCGTGGAACCCAAGGTGCCAACAGCCAAGGGAGGGAGGTATGCATCAGGCAGAAAGCACCTGAGAAGATGAATGTCTCACTTTATAACACAGAGACACCATTGAGCTGGCCTCTCTCTTTTTGGATGCTAGAGTTGTACTCTTCCCTAGCCACCCCGCTCTGCAGGCAGAAACCTGAAATATTTGCATGTTGTCTTTGTGCAACAAAGCCGGTATCATGAAGGTTTAGAAAACTTTTGTCTGGGGAAGAGGAGGTCACACTGCATGAGGCTTATGCCTCCACGCGGAAAATGTGAACAATGGGCTTTGGAAGTCAAGGTGGATGTCAGCTCTTCACTCATAAACCTGCCAGCCTTCTCTGCAGCGTGGAGAGAAGGAGGCATAACAGAATTAAGAAGTATTTGTCCCCTCCTTTGGTAAAATAAAACCGCATCAAAAAATAAAATTGGACCCGCAACAATATCCTAACGAAGGATATATCACAACCTCTTCCAGTTCTATTTTTGAAATAATATTTTTTTTTCTTGCTTGCTATAAAGGTGATGCATTTTTATGGTAGGAAAATGGAAACAGATTTAAAAAAAAAAACCCAAAGAAGAAAATGGAAGCCATTTTCGTGTCACTAGTCAGATACAGCCTTTCTTAGCATATTAATATTTTAGTGCACGTCTTTCCAGGGTTGTGTTCTAAATGCACACACACACACACGGTCACACTTCACACGTCTTGTGGAACTTCAGTAAAGGCTGACACATAGGAAGTACTCAAGTCAATGCTGGTTGGATGGATGATTCTATGAGCCTCCAATTTATGTATCTCTAGAGGGAGGATAAGCCTAAAATCGACCCCCATGAGGCTGTTCTGAGGATTAAATAAAATAAAGCAAAGAAAGTGGGGTGATCTTTCCCCAACTCTATCAGATAGAAGATCTGACTCCTCCTGTGTGTACCCCTCCTCCGACACTCAGGATACCTCCAGCCCCTCCCAGCTGCCCTCCCCCAGTGCCCTCCCCTCCCTGCTCCTGTGCGAATGGGTTTATGCCCCGCCTCCTTGTCATTGTTGTTATCATTTCTTTTTTTTTTCATTTTATCCTTAAGGAGAGGTTGCCAGCAAAGTACCAAGAACTCCCATGGCCCCTCCCCAGACCCCCGATTGTCAGGATTTTACATTTCCCTTCAATTCATTGTGTTTTTTCCTCCCTCCGTCCCTCTCTTAAAAGACAGACATAAAGAGACCGTTTCTTCTACAGAACTATCTGAGAGCAAGTTGCAGATCTAATGCCTCGTCACCCTTTAGCACTTCAGAATCCTTTTATTAGTAACAAGGATTCTCTCCCACGGAAGACAGGAAACCAACGCTGACACGGTATCACCGTATAATTTACGACCCTCTTTCCAATGTTGCCCGTTTGCAAATAGTGTCGTTTATAGTCCCAGGCTCAGAACCACTTAGTTGTCCTGCCTTTCCAGCTGCCCTCACTCAAGAACAATTCTTCAGGCTTTTCTTGTCTTTTGTGGCCTCAACGCTTTTAATGCTCTGGTACCTGGCAGATTGTTTCTCGTTTGGGGTTTCCCGACGATCAGGTCTAGGTCATGCAACTAGGGGGTTCTCAGTGCATCGTACCAGGAGGCGCATGGTGCAAATCTGCCCCGTGGCTAAAGATGCTAAACACGGTCACTTGTTTTAAAAGGTGTCTACCAGGTTTCTTGTGTACTTATTAATTCGTAAGTGACTGTTATTAGTCGGCATTCTACTGAAAAGTAAAGCTGCTCTCCACATCTATTCATGTATTTATTCATTTATGTATTAATATCACCATGGCCTCCTGGATTTCTTTTTTATTCAATGGGATGGAGTCTAATATTGTCTTTATTTATTGGGATGCACAAATTGTTCCAGATTTATCTCGTGAG